GTTGTTACATCTTGGCTTAACGTGTTTATGACATATTAGAACGTTGTTACAACTTGCTATATTGGTTGTTATAACTGGTTAGGAGGTGTTAAAACTTGTTCGAACGTTGTACCAACGTCGTAGTTTCGGTGTGTGTGTTTGGCGGGTTCACAGCCTGGTAGGTCTATCTCTTTGACACTCCGGCCCTTCCTTATCAGCAGTGCCACTCCTCCTCCTCTTCCCTTCCTCTCTTTCTTTACTTTACGGTAGTTGAGTGGAAACACTGGATTTGTTATGAAACATGAGAGTTTTGTTTCTGTAAGTGCTATTACATCTGGGTTGTCTTCTTGTGACCTTTCCTCGGCTTCACTCGTTCGTAGTCGTACTCTTTTGCACCGGTACTCGTACTTCACTCGTACTCGTACTTCACTCGTACTCCACTCATACTCGTACTTCACTCGTACTCGTACTCCACTCGTACTCGTACTCCACTCGTACTCGTACTCCACTCGTACTCGTACTTCACTCATACTCGTACTTCACTCATACTCGTACTTCACTCATACTCGTACTTCACTCGTACTCGTACTCCACTCGTACTCGTACTCCACTCATACTCGTACTTCACTCGTACTCGTACTCCACTCATACTCGTACTTCACTCATACTCGTACTTCACTCGTACTCGTACTTCACTCGTACTCGTACTCCACTCGTACTCGTACTCCACTCATACTCGTACTTCACTCGTACTCGTACTCCACTCATACTCGTACTTCACTCGTACTCGTACTCCACTCGTACTCGTACTTCACTCGTACTCGTACTCCACTCATACTCGTACTTCACTCGTACTCGTACTCCACTCGTACTCGTACTCCACTCATACTCGTACTTCACTCGTACTCGTACTCCACTCATACTCGTACTTCACTCGTACTCGTACTCCACTCATACTCGTACTTCACTCGTACTCGTACTCCACTCATACTCGTACTTCACTCGTACTCGTACTCCACTCGTACTCGTACTTCACTCGTACTCGTACTTCACTGGTACTGCCATCTATGTTTGTGTAGAGAACAGTGAAGGTCAGTTTGATGTGTCCATCCTTACCTATGCCTGGGGTTGTTCCAGAGGTGGAGACAGTTGCTCCGTGGAGGGAGCTGCCTGGGTGTTGTTGATGTGCTGTGTGATACTTAACACGGTCTGGGTGTTGTTGGTGTGCTGTGTGTGATACTTAACACGGTCTGGGTGTTGTTGGTGTGCTGTGTGTGATACTTAACACGGGCCCCTCGGGCTGGCCCATGGGTCAAGGGCCCCAGGGGCAGGAGGGGCAGGGGGGGGGGGGTGATAGTTATGCTAGGGTGGTGATGGGGGGGGAGGGGGGGAGCCAGTCACTAACACCTAGCCATGAATGGGACTCTTCAAGCGCCAACAAGGTAATGGATTGATAGTGTGGGTGTAGTCGTGTGGTGCTGGTGTGTAGTGGTGTGGTGGGGGTGTGGTGGTGTGGTGTGGTGGGGGTGTGTGGTGTGGTGGGGGTGTGGTGGTGTGATGGGGGTGTGGGGTGTAGTGGTGTGGTGGGGGTGTAGTGGTGTGGGGGGGGTGTAGTGGTGTGGTGGGGGTGTGTGGTGTGGTGGTGGTGTGGTGGGGGTGTGGGGTGTAGTGGTGTGGTGGGGGTGTGTGGTGTGGTGGGGGTGTGGGGTGTAGTGGTGTGGTGGGGGTGTGTGGTGTGGTGGTGACGTGGGGGTGTGTGGTGTGGTGGGGGTGTGTGGTGTGGTGGGGGTGTGGGGTGTAGTGGTGTGGTGGGGGTGTGGGGTGTGGTGGTGACGTGGGGGTGTGTGGTGTGGTGGGGGTGTGGGTGTGGGTGGGGGTGTGGGGTGTAGTGGTGTGTAGTGTGGTGGTATATACCCACCACCTCCAATATGTCACCGGCCAAATACCCGCATATTCGTAACTTGAAAATAAAAATAGTTGCAGAGACACAGAATTAAGCTAAAAAATCACGCTCAGCACTAAAATTTCCGACATTTCAGATATTTTGAAAACTGCAGGAGGAGTTTGTGCAAAATATGACCCATCGGTGTTTTCAATAACTGGCATATTTTCCGTATAAAAAGTCGTAATAATTAAACTGATATCGTACTTAACACTTGAACAAGGCCAAATATAAGTATAGGAGACTTCACATATATTGCTGACACTTATGGTTATAACCCATTATATTCCTTTATATATTATATATCCCTTTATATACTTATATTACATTGTATATTATTGTAAATGTGTGGCCACGTTTGTGTTCAATAATATAACTAATATGACAGTGTTGGGTGGTGGTGGTCCATTACTGTCTGGCGTCACGTCTGTCAGTCTTGGTGTCAGGTGTAGCCACGTGTGGCCACACCTGCACCCCTCACAACCACGTGTGGCCACACCTACACCACTCACAACCAGGTGTGGCCACACCTGCACCCCTCACAACCACGTGTGGCCACACCTGCACCACTCACAACCACGTGTGGCCACACCTGCGCCACTCACAACCACGTGTGGCCACACCTGCACCCCTCACAACCACGTGTGGCCACACCTGCGCCACTCACAACCACGTGTGGCCACACCTGCACCCCTCACAACCACGTGTGGCCACACCTGCACCCCTCACAACCACGTGTGGCCACACCTGCACCCCTCACAACCACGTGTGGCCACACCTGCACCACTCACAATCACGTGTGGCCACACCTGCACCCCTCACAACCACGTGTGGCCACACCTGCACCCCTCACAATCACGTGTGGCCACACCTGCACCCCTCACAACCAGGTGTGGCCACACCTGAGCCTCTATCTTTTTAATCAGTCTTTCATGTTGCACTGTATCAAAAGCTTTGCTAAAGTCAAGGTACACAACATCACAATCCTTACCACTATCAACTGCCTCAACTATGCTAGAATAAAAAGATAACAAATTTGTTAAACATGAACGGCCATTAGTAACACCATGTTGCGACTCAATTATTAATTTATGTTTTTCAAGATGAAGACGAAAAGTTTTTCGTCGAAAAGATGAAAAAAAAGAGATAAGTTTAGATTTAGGGAAGACCTGGGTAAATACTGGTCCGGTAACAGGGTTGTTGATTTGTGGAACCAATTACCGCGTAACATTGTGGAGGTGGGGTCCCTCGATTGTTTCAAGCGCGGGTTGGACATGTATATGAGTGGGATTGGGTGGTTAGAGATTGAAATTGAAATAAGTTTATTGAGGTAAAATCCACACAAAGGGATGAGGTAGCTCAAGCTATTCTCACCCCGTTCAGTACAACGTGTTAATACATACATAGACACACATTACAAACAATAAACATATTACCAAACATTCTGAGAGGTAAACATACACATTTCCTCCTTCACAAGTAGTATGTTATCAGACGTACACATAAATACTTTTATGACCTAGGTATACTGTATAGACAAGGTAATAGATAGGAGCTGCCTCGTATGGACCAATAGGCCTTCTGCAGTTACCTTTGTTCTTATCTTCTTATCACGTAGCTAGTTTATTGACACTCTGTACTCTGCTTCATATAGTGTAAGGCAACTGCTCAATTGTAGATGTATGTAAATGAGTTAATAAAACAAAGTGTGTCCGTCTCTCAGGAAAGTTAGTCATCACACGGCCCTGTATGACTAACCATCCGGGCAGTTGGCGACATGTTAGTACCACTGCTACTTTGTTCACTCTCGTGTTCTTAAGGATATCCTCATCATGCCCCCAGAGTGTCAGTACACACTACGGCTCACATGGGACTAACTACCCTGTGTTAGGGGAGTTTTTAGCTAGTTCTTGACACACACTGTACTCCCCGTCACATAGTCTAGGGCAGCTAGTTCTTGACACACACTGTACTCCCCGTCATATAGTCTAGGGCAGCTAGTTCTTGACACACACTGTACTCCCCGTCATATAGTCTAGGGCAGCTAGTTCTTGACACACACTGTACTCCCCGTCATATAGTCTAGGGCAGCTAGTTCTTGACACACACTGTACTCCCCGTCATATAGTCTAGGGCAGCTAGTTCTTGACACACTCTGTACTCCCCTTCATATAGTCTAGGGCAGCTAGTTCTTGACACACACTGTACTCCCCGTCATATAGTCTAGGGCAGCTAGTTCTTGACACACTCTGTACTCCCCGTCATATAGTCTAGGGCAGCTAGTTCTTGACACACACTGTACTCCCCGTCATATAGTCTAGGGCAGCTAGTTCTTGACACACTCTGTACTCCCCTTCATATAGTCTAGGGCAGCTAGTTCTTGACACACACTGTACTCCCCGTCATATAGTCTAGGGCAGCTAGTTCTTGGCACACTCTGTACTCCCCGTCATATAGTCTAGGGCAGCTAGTTCTTGACACACACTGTACTCCCCGTCATATAGTCTAGGGCAGCTAGTTCTTGACACACTCTGTACTCCCCTTCATATAGTCTAGGGCAGCTAGTTCTTGACACACTCTGTACTACCCTTCATAGAACGGGAGAGAGATACTGACATAGATACAGAGGGAGAGAGAGAGAGAGAGAGAGAGAGAGAGAGAGAGAGAGAGAGAGAGAGAGAGAGAGAGAGAGAGAGAGAGAGAGAGAGAGAGAGAGAGAGAGAGAGAGAGAGAGATACAGAGAGAGAGATAGACAGAGAGAGAGAGAGAGAGAGAGAGAGAGAGAGAGAGAGAGAGAGAGAGAGAGAGAGAGAGAGAGAGAGAGAGAGAGAGAGAGAGAGAGAGAGAGAGACAGAGAGAGAGATAGAGAGAGAGAGAGAGATATATATATAGCGAGAGAGGAATGTGGGGGTGCAGGAAGCGGGCCCAGGTGAGTGAGAGCCAAGGGGTTCACGGTGTGTGGTGGGACAAGTTCCACCACCACCACCACAACACAACCCTTGTGTAACAACCTGTCTTAACTAAACCCAACCTGTTTGACCCAACCAGTCTGACAGTGGCTCTCCCCTCCCCCCCGCAGACTGGTGTGAGGCAGGACGTGAAGAAGAGGATAGAAGAGATCCGTCTGCTGGAGTGTCGCAAGTCTGCGCGCCTCGCAGACCAGGACACAGACTTCGCTAAGCTGGCAGACATGTCCACGGACCGTAAGGACCGCAAGCCTTCCCAGACCATCGATGTTCCTGCACCCTCCGGCCTCCAAGGGTGAGTTGTCTAGTGGTCTCCAAGGGTGAGTTGTCTGGTCTCCAAGGGTGAGTTGACTGGTCTCCAAGGGTGAGTTGACTGGTCTCCAAGGGTGAGTTGACTGGTCTCCAAGGGTGAGTTGACTGGTCTCCAAGGGTGAGTTGACTGGTCTCCAAGGGTGAGTTGACTGGTCTCCAAGGGTGAGTTTGGTGGTGGTGGGGGTGTCCAAGGGTGAGTTGACTGGTCTCCAAGGGTGAGTTGACTGGTCTCCAAGGGTGAGTTTGGTGGTGGTCTCCAAGGGTGAGTTTGGTGGTGGTGGTGTCCAAGGGTGAGTTTGGTGGTGGTGGTGGTGTCCAAGGGTGAGTTGTCTGGTCTTCAAGGGTGAGTTTGGTGGTGGTGGTGGTGTCCAAGGGTGAGTTGTCTGGTCTCCAAGGGTGAGTTGACTGGTCTCCAAGGGTGAGTTGACTGGTGTCCAAGGGTGAGTTGACTGGTGTCCAAGGGTGAGTTGACTGGTGTCCAAGGGTGAGTTGACTGGTGTCCAAGGGTGAGTTGACTGGTCTCCAAGGGTGAGTTGACTGGTGTCCAAGGGTGAGTTGACTGGTGTCCAAGGGTGAGTTGACTGGTCTCCAAGGGTGAGTTGACTGGTGTCCAAGGGTGAGTTGACTGGTGTCCAAGGGTGAGTTGACTGGTCTCCAAGGGTGAGTTGACTGGTGTCCAAGGGTGAGTTGACTGGTCTCCAAGGGTGAGTTGTCTGGTCTCCAAGGGTGAGTTTGGTGGTGGTGGTGGTGTCCAAGGGTGAGTTGACTGGTGGTGAGGGTGTCCAAGGGTGAGTTGACTGGTGGTGGGGGTGTCCAAGGGTGAGTTGTCTAGTGGAGGTGTCCAAGGGTGAGTTGACTAGTGGAGGTGTCCAAGGGTGAGTTGTCTAGTGGAGGTGTCCAAGGGTGAGTTGTCTAGTGGAGGTGTCCAAGGGTGAGTTGACTAGTGGAGGTCTCCAAGGGTGAGTTGACTAGTGGAGGTCTCCAAGGGTGAGTTGACTAGTGGAGGTGTCCAAGGGTGAGTTGACTAGTGGGGGTGTCCAAGGGTGAGTTGACTAGTGGAGGTGTCCAAGGGTGAGTTGACTAGTGGAGGTGTCCAAGGGTGAGTTGACTAGTGGTGGTCTCCAAGGGTGAGTTGACTAGTGGTGGTCTCCAAGGGTGAGTTGACTAGTGGAGGTGTCCAAGGGTGAGTTGACTAGTGGTGGTCTCCAAGGGTGAGTTGACTAGTGGAGGTGTCCAAGGGTGAGTTGACTGGTCTCCAAGGGTGAGTTGACTAGTGGAGGTGTCCAAGGGTGAGTTGACTAGTGGAGGTGTCCAAGGGTGAGTTGACTAGTGGTTGTCTCCAAGGGTGAGTTGACTAGTGGTGGTCTCCATGGGTGAGTTGACTAGTGGCGGTCTCCAAGGGTGAGTTGACTAGTGGTGGTCTCCAAGGGTGAGTTGACTAGTGGTGGTCTCCAAGGGTGAGTTGACTAGTGGAGGTCTCCAAGGGTGAGTTGACTAGTGGTGGTCTCCAAGGGTGAGTTGACTAGTGGAGGTGTCCAAGGGTGAGTTGACTAGTGGTGGTCTCCAAGGGTGAGTTGACTAGTGGAGGTGTCCAAGGGTGAGTTGACTGGTCTCCAAGGGTGAGTTGACTAGTGGAGGTGTCCAAGGGTGAGTTGATTGGTCTCCAAGGGTGAGTTGACTAGTGGTGGTCTCCAAGGGTGAGTTGACTAGTGGAGGTCTCCAAGGGTGAGTTGACTAGTGGAGGTGTCCAAGGGTGAGGTAGTTGGTGTCCAATATTACTAATGGTCGCTGGGAGGGTGTTGAACAACCATGGATCCCTCATGTTCAGACAGTGTTCTCTGATTGTTCTTCTTGGTAGTAGGTACAGTTTGCATGAAGGGTTTGTCCTCCCCATGACTGTACCAGTCACTTTCTCTGATTGTGCCCATGGCTGCCTCACCCACGGTGGTGGCGCCACAGCTGAGCGCGGTCTCTGGCAAAGGTGAAACGAACAAAACAAAGCTCCAAAACCTTTGGTTATTATAAATGGGTCACCTGTGGGCATGGAATATCGGGAAGAACATATGGAACATGTAAGTACGGTCACTCTAGCAAGTGTAGACTCCTCCTTAGTACAGGTAAATGCACAGATAGCTGTGGTTTTGTTCACTCTTTGCAAGAACTCCTTAGATAGGAAAGAATGCTTCAACACAGAATGTCCAGCTTTCCATATAAGGAGCACCAGGGGAATAAGACCGACAAACCACCTCGATGAAAGCAGCCACGACACTACTTACCAGAAGGATTTTTTTTAGCAAGAGGAGGAGGAGGAGAATGGCTAAAAATGTCCAGACTCTACCACCAACTCGGTCAAGTGCTGGAGAGGACGCAAACACAGTGCCCTCCTTACCAGAGCCTCAGATATTAACACCAAGTGAAGCTTCCAGCACTTCCACTAACACGATAACATCATTTATATTTGCCAACATTAAGATCTATAAAAAACACGCGCAAATGTAAGAGAGTGCACTTCATAGTGCACTCTGTGAAGTGCAAATGCTTCACTACATTTGTCTACTACATGAGGCAAATGCAGTGTTTGCAGCCCTAACGGAAACTCACACAAAGGACTACCATGATGGTGAAATATGGATCTCAGAGTACAGTCTTTTTCAGATGTGATAGGAAACACCGGCTTCAGGGTGGGGTCAGCCTCTACATCACAGGCTTCAGGGTGGGGTCAGCCTCTACATCACAGGCTTCAGGGTGGGGTCAGCCTCTACATCACAGGCTTCAGGGTGGGGTCAGCCTCTACATCACAGGCTTCAGGGTGGGGTCAGCCTCTACATCACAGGCTTCAGGGTGGGGTCAGCCTCTACATCACAGGCTTCAGGGTGGGGTCAGCCTCTACATCACAGGCTTCAGGGTGGGGTCAGCCTCTACATCACAGGCTTCAGGGTGGGGTCAGCCTCTACATCACAGGCTTCAGGGTGGGGTCAGCCTCTACATCACAGGCTTCAGGGTGGGGTCAGCCTCTACATCACAGGCTTCAGGGTGGGGTCAGCCTCTACATCACAGGCTTCAGGGTGGGGTCAGCCTCTACATCACAGGCTTCAGGGTGGGGTCAGCCTCTACATCACAGGCTTCAGGGTGGGGTCAGCCTCTACATCACAGGCTTCAGGGTGGGGTCAGCCTCTACATCACAGGCTTCAGGGTGGGGTCAGCCTCTACATCACAGGCTTCAGGGTGGGGTCAGCCTCTACATCACAGGCTTCAGGGTGGGGTCAGCCTCTACATCACAGGCTTCAGGGTGGGGTCAGCCTCTACACCACAGGCTACAGGGTGGGGTCAGCCTCTACACCACAGGCTACAGGGTGGGGTCAGCCTCTACATCACAGGCTTCAGGGTGGGGTCAGCCTCTACATCACAGGCTTCAGGGTGGGGTCAGCCTCTACATCACAGGCTACAGGGTGGGGTCAGCCTCTACATCACAGGCTTCAGGGTGGGGTCAGCCTCTACATCACAGGCTACAGGGTGGGGTCAGCCTCTACACCACAGGCTACAGGGTGGGGTCAGCCTCTATATCACAGGCTACAGGGTGGGGTCAGCCTCTACATCACAGGCTACAGGGTGGGGTCAGCCTCTACATCACAGGCTTCAGGGTGGGGTCAGCCTCTACATCACAGGCTTCAGGGTGGGGTCAGCCTCTACACCACAGGCTACAGGGTGGGGTCAGCCTCTACACCACAGGCTACAGGGTGGGGTCAGCCTCTACATCACAGGCTTCAGGGTGGGGTCAGCCTCTACATCACAGGCTTCAGGGTGGGGTCAGCCTCTACATCACAGGCTTCAGGGTGGGGTCAGCCTCTACATCACAGGCTTCAGGGTGGGGTCAGCCTCTACATCACAGGCTTCAGGGTGGGGTCAGCCTCTACATCACAGGCTTCAGGGTGGGGTCAGCCTCTACACCACCGGCTTCAGGGTGGGGTCAGCCTCTACATCACAGGCTTCAGGGTGGGGTCAGCCTCTACATCACAGGCTTCAGGGTGGGGTCAGCCTCTACATCAAAGACACACTCATCTGTACTGAGCAGCTAAACACCTCAAATGATATGGTGGAAGTGCTGATAGTCAAAATAGAGATCCTAAATGTAGTTATTGTCCTTGTATATAAGTCACCGGAGGCAAACCCTCAGCAGTTTAAAGACCAACTAATGAAAATACTGCTTGGAAAACCTCACAAATCCAGCTCCGAACATGATCCTGCTTGGGGACTTTAACCTACGGCACCTGAAATGGAAGCACCTGGCTAATACAGTAATATCAGAAAGAATACCAGGAAGTAGCCTAAATGAACAGGGACATGCAAATGACCTGCTACGGATGTGCGACAGGTTTGCCTTAAACCAGCAAATAGTAGAACCAACTAGGAAGGAGAACACGCTGGACCTCATTTTCACTAATAATGATGAATTGATCAGGAACATAATGATTACAAATACCTGTTACTCAGATCACAACTTAATTGAAGTTATGACAACCATGGGGAGTAGACCTTCAAAACCAGTCCAGATTCCCGGTGGAGGAGATTTCAGCAAATTCAACTTCAATAATAAACAGATAAACTGGGAGCAAATAAACCAGGACTTCACAGAAATAAACTGGGAAGAACAGCTAGAAAATGCAAACCTGAACCAGTGCCTGGAAAAAATAAGCTCAGTAGCACTAGAAATATGTTCAAACCGCATACCCCTAAGAAAAAAGAGGAAGAGATGCAGATTGGAACGGGAACGTCGTTCCCTATATAGGCGAAGAAAACGAATCGCGGAACAACTTGAGAGTCGCACCCTATCTCAAGAACGGCGAAGAAGGTTAGGTAGAGAAATAGAAACAATTGAACTCAAGCTACGAGAATCATACAAAACCCAGGAGAGGCAGAGAGAGCAAAAGGCCATCAGTGAAATAGAGAGAAATCCAACACCAGATTGTACAGAGCTCCAGAGTG